CAAGTCAGAATCCTGTGCAGGTACCCTAGTAGCTACAAGGCAAAATTTAAGCAGATTGCAGAATAACTGCAGGGGGCAGAGCAGGATGGGGATGGTGAAGAAAAATTACGGCAGGTAGACGGAGAGTAGGATACCAATCGCGACTGTCTGTCGAAGACCCTCACAGGGGTTCAGGTGCAGGCGAGTTTTGTGTTTATCGCTCTCGCTCATATTCCTTGCACAGGGCATAAAATTCCGACAAATAGGAAGGCCAAGAAGGGCTCTTGTACAGCTTTCCGGACACTGTCAAATACGAAGGCCGAGAAATTGTGAGAATCAACAATGCCATGGGCTGCGGCGTCAGAGCTTTCCATTGGCTTTCTCGCACACGTTGGTGCCTCGTAGAGTCGTAACACATAAATGTCAAATTCTACCAGACTTCCTCGCCGATTGCAATTTCCTATGCCGTACTGCAAGCGCTGATCATATTTCTAGTGAGCCCTCGGAGAAGGCTCAAGCGTAACAGTTGCCAGTGGTTGGTGGATATCCATAGCAAATTCGCCACCTCATATATTTGAATATTTCTCACAAATTCTCAGGCAAATAAGTGGTGTAGAGGAGGGAAGGAAAAGGAAAGTAATCCTGTACACTACCTTTATAAGATCTTCAGGCATCTCCAGGGGGAATTCTTCTGGATTGTCCTCTTTTTTCCCCACCCAGCACGACTCCGAAAATACCACCTAGACAGGAGGGGGGGGGGGGGGGTTGGAAACAAGAAAACACTGTCAGTACCTGGCTTGGGCTTCGCAAAATGGGACACAGTCAATGAGGCAGTCAGGTCAGGTTCTCCAAAAGGAAAAAGAAGAAAAACAAAAGGAGGCTGCGAAAAGCTTAAACCACTAGTACCTTAGCCGTCTGGTTTCGACAAGTTTTGGTCTACCTCCGAACTTTCAGGAGGCCGGGCCCAACAACGGCTGCCGTTGATAAATCTGATCCGCGGCCGTTGTTTCGTTTCGGCCTCCTGAAAGGTCGGAGGCACAGTATTTTCGAACCGACAAAGGTACTAGACTACTAGTGGTTTAAGAAAAAAATGAAAAAAAATGGAAAAAAAAAAAGGCAGTCAGCCTGTCAGATGCTTAAAAAAAAGACCTTGCCACTATTGTTCTCAGTTTTCACGTAATGCTACCGTCTTCACCCGAATAGAACACCCAGTCATTATCGCTGCATTTAGCCCAACTTTCAGTCCAGACTCCAGATGCCGCGATAATGACCAGGCGTTCTATTCGGGTGAAGACAGTAGTTGTCAGGCAATCTCAGTTGTCAGGCAATCTCAGTTGTCCAGAAGCAGAAGTGTTGCCCCATCAGCACATTCCAATCTTCCAACTCCAGCACCAAACTCCCGCCAAGACGACCACCAAACTCCCGCCGAGACGACCTCTTTCTTTGAAACACAAAAAAAGAAAGCAAGAGAAATGTTACCCACTTGGTAGTGGGTTGGATCAGTACTTCCACAGCCTCAGATCCCTCTGCATGACAGCACACGGATTTGAACCGGCACCCTTGGCGTCACGAGCCAAGCACTGTAACCACTGCAGCCATGACACAGTGTTCAAAAAGTGCAACCATACCGATCATGATATCAAGCTCACCCCTGCGTGGCCGCAGCGTCCGTAATCACACACACACACACACACACACCACACACAGCAGTCTCTCGCACACATGCTCTTGATCCGGAACATGACCCTTACCCGCTTGGTAGCGGGGCAAGGAAAACAGCATGAGATAGACAGACATAAGCACTATTAAGCAGGCTAGTGCCTCTCTTTTTTCGAACACTATGCAATGACCTCAGTTCAAATCCGCACGGACATACGCCAGGGTCGTAACTTCCGGTCCAAGTCAAGATTCAAGGGTCGAGAGTCGCATCTCTAGCTCTAGAGAGGCCTGAGCAAAGTCCTAAGGTCAAGGCCCAGGTGAGGCTCCTGGAAAATCCAGAGTCAGGCTGAACACATGAAAAGCACACCAAGAGCCAGAGACTTCTCAGCAGTCAAGTGCATTCATCGACCAGATGCAGAAATCAAAGACTGTCTGCATTGTTCAAGTCAAGGTTCTAGGGCCTGCTGGGTCAAAGGCACATCAAGGGCGACAGCGAAGCTAAGCCGCTCAGGTAGAGAAATCTCAACCGTCGGAGGAGGCAAGTGGAAGTACGCCAAGGCTGGAAAACAATACAAAATACAAAAGAGAGGCCAGGCCCAGAAAGATGATTCATTCTGCCTCACGCTGATACAGTTACGTGCTACAGTCCACACTACAAGAACGTGCTACAGTGAG